ATTACTTTGAAAAAAGTTCTCATTTTCACAACTTTAGAGAATATCTCCGGATGGGACAAAACATCAACATCTTGAAGTAGTTGTAATGAGTATAATCTTTGTCTTGACATGACACTTCTCATTCATACATGAAAGTGAGAAATTGAACTTACTATTGGTTTTACAGCTCATCACTTATACTATCTCAACAAATATTTATATTTTCATAATAAAATGTTATACTTTAAAATACATTTATAAAAAAATTTATAATAAAAGTACACATTTTTTTTATTATGGTTCTAATAAAAAAGTATTACTCTTAGTTTAACTCTTTTAATTTGATTGTAATAGAAAAGTATACATTTCTTTTATTATGGTTGTAATAAAAAAGTATAACTTTTTAATTATGGTTGTAATAAAAGTATACATTTTTTTATTATAATAAAAGTATAACATAAAAAATGTTATACTTTAAAATACATTATAAAATTATGGTTGGTAATAGCAACAGATATTAGAGTAAAACTAGTAAAAAAAAACACATACCTATGTCCAAGGGCACCCTATACATTTTTACCTTTAAAACCATATTCCTCCTCCAATGAACAATCATATTACAATAGCACAAAAACAAAAAAACAAGACATGGATGACTCATTCCTCCTCCAAATTTTCATGGCTTTTCTTCTCATGATCAAGATTGCCAGTTGCCAGCAGAGCGATTTCGTGGACAAGCGTTGCAATCCTACATCGAACTACACCAAAAATGACGCCTTCTCAAAGAATCTGAATAGTCTTTTGAACACCATGTTTGACCAGACCCCCAAACAAGAAGGGTTCTCGAAAGGCTCTGTTGGCTCGGTCTACGGGCTTTCCCTCTGCCGAGGAGATGTCTCGTCCGACTATTGTGACTTCTGCCTCTACGACGCCCGATGCAAGATCACCCAACGCTGCTATAACCGAACCGCCATCGTTTGGTACACTTAATAATTATAGGAAAATGCTACAATCCCGTTACGGAACTATTCCGTTGGGATTGTAACCGTTAGATCATCAAGTAACCGTCAATGATAATTGATCTAACGGTTACAAATCCCAACGGAATGGTTCCGTAACGGGATGTAGCCTTACCCATAATTATATACATATGTATTCATACATAAGTAAAATAGCTTAAATATATTGTCTAATAACCAAATTTATAGAATGTGATATGTGCGTACATCATATATTTTATGATTACAAATATAATACACATACATATAATATATTTTTATTTTCATAGGTACATGTGAACATGATTAACTACAAGCTAGTTCTCATTGTATATTAGACCATTTATTTTATGATCAATTAGTTTTTGAAATTGCCATAATTTATTCAATCATTCAATTTCTTAAATAATCATCAAAATTGAATCTTAAATTATAAAATTTAAAAAGTTGTGCTAAACTGCAAATTAAAGTTGAAGTACAGGTCAGTAATTTGTTTCGCAATTTTTATTTTTATTTTTTTCCTAACAACAACGAAAGACAAATAATTCTTTAAATAATTTTCTGATAGGTACGACTACTGCATGATGAAATACTCGGACCACAAATTCTTCGGAAAAATCGACAACGAGAATACGGCGTTGTGGTACAACGTGGACAACGCGACCGACCCCATCGGATTCAATAAGACGGTTCGGGAGTTGCTTGGCAACCTTTCCACAAAAGCTGTAAAGAAGAGTACACTATACGCTAAGGGGCAGAAGTTCACGACTGGGGAGAATGCAACTGTATACGCCATGGTCCAATGCACCTTGGACCTCTCTACAAAATCGTGCAAGAAATGCCTAGTCGAGGCCATACATGAGCTCCCGGGTTTTACGGCCGAAACCTCCACCGTGGGGTCGAGGTACATTGGTGGGAGTTGCATGGCGCGGTTCGAAATTTACAAATTCCTCGAGGATTAGCTGGAAATTGACCGGAAAATATAATCGGACGTTTTGGATTTGAGTTCTATGAATGGGAGGATAATATTAACATATGTGTTGTACTTTTAATTATGACTTTTGTCAACCTTTGATTAAGGACATGTACTCTCCTTTGAATATCCATGAAATATTAGTGAATTATATTGGTTAAAACGTGGACAATTAATGTTAAGGAGCAACTAAGGATAATAGTATTGGACAGTAAATTGAAGCGTTGTAAGAGTTTCTAAGCAAACATTTCGAAAAATACAAACAATGTTGACCACTTTTTAATATGATAAACGAATATAAAAAACTCAGTTGAACTCACTACAATAAAATTGAAAATTTATGAAAGAACATTACACTAATTAATCAGAAGTTCAACAAAACAATGAACAAATAGTTGAAAAGCCGGAGGATAGTTTTTCGATTGAAAAGTAATTAATTATTTATGGAAGATCGTAACTTTGTATTAGAGGACGTAGATCCATATAGTGCGAAATATAACCAATTTAAATAAGGTTATAATTGTTTTTTTTTTAATTCTATATCGTGTTGATTACATATCGATTTCGGATTTTATTGTTTTATTACTATATTGGATTTTGTTACTATTTATTCTTTGACATTATTAACGAAAGTCTAATAATTGAAAAAAATAGAAAAGCAAATTAATAATTTAATTGGTTCTATATTGAATGTATTTAGCATAATGAATAAAAAAGGAAATTTTGTCTTTAAATTTTCTTACCATTTTTAATTTTGTATTTTATTATTATTATTTTTTTTCTTTTAAGTGCTCTTTCGTTTATTTTCTTTTTAATCCATCTGAATATGATTTATTTATTTCCAAATTTCTATTTTTTTTTTCATTCTTATAATTTTACTTTCATTTGACTGTACTTCAATTATTTATCAGTACTTTTTCCACATTCCTGTACACACACATACTTATTTTCCAATGAAGAACAGACAAAAATGTGACAAGAGAATAATCTTCCCATTGGATAGAGTCTATTGAAAAAAAGTGATTGCGTTTTATTCTTCTATATGTAATCAAACCTCGTGTTATCAAATTTCAACAATAAATCCAATTGGATAGAGACATTGATTTGCCTGGATATTTCATTTCCAAACAACCTCGCATTGCTTGTGTCTGCCTGCTGCCGAATGAAAAAATAAAAAAGAGAATAAAATTTTATATTAGTACACTACTAGAAATCAGCGTTGTGACTCGTCAGAGTTTAGTATTTAATTAGTTATATTCCGGTGGAATATAATTCGACAAATTAATAGTTTTAATTTGTTTTCACCACCTATTTCTAACTTTTGAAAGACTTATAAAATGTTGTAATAAAATAAAATACTACGCTTGATATATATTATATAGTTTTTCTACGTGTCTCAATTCCAATTATCATAATATATTGTAAAGTATATAATATTTATAGTAATGATGCAAATCTATAAAGAAGCTTGAACTTTGAAAATTTCTCACCTTAGAGTAGCTTTGAGGGAGAGGGATTTATTGTGGTTTGTAAATTCAAACATTTATGGTTAAAATTCAATACATTTGAACTTCAAAAGTTTGAACCAATGTGGTAAATATAAACCTTTTGCAAAGTTGTCAATTGAAAAAATGAATATACTTTGAAAATTTCTCACCTTAGAGTAGCTTTGAGGGATAGGTTTTTATTGTGGTTTGTAAATTCCAACATTTATGGTTAAAATTCATTGCATTTGAACTTCAAAAGTTTGAACCAATGTGGTAAATATAAACCTTTTGCAAAGTTGTCAATTGAAAAAATGAATATATACAATGATTTTGAAGGGTACTCTTAATTCCATAGGATTTGTTACTCAATAGATCTAAAATTTCTTAATTATTTAAGGTTTCAAAACTCAAAATCAATTTACTCTTCTTATCTGGTGATCCGTGACCATAAAAAATACTCGAATACAAATTTAATAAAAACAATAAAATTCATCGCATTCTACGAGATAGAAATTTTAATTAATATTTTTTCGTCTTTTATCTATATTCAAACACTTCGTAATTATTAACTATTACACTTTAATAATTGTTGTGTAGCATTAAAATATGTTGCTATTTTCATCTCTTTTTTAATCTATCATTATATAAAAAGATTAACCTTTTTACAAATTTAGCAAGTTTTTTCCTCCAATATCATTAAATGTATTCTATATATAGTAATTGTTGGTCAATTTTGAATATGCAAAAAAATCGCAGATATATATCTGTTTTTCTTTTTCCTTTTTTTTTTGGTACTAAAAAACCGCAATATCTGTTTTTCTTTTTCCTTTTTTTTGGTACTAAAAAACGCCGGTAGTATATATCTGTTTTTCTTTTTCCTTTTTTTTGGTACTCAAAACCGCCTGTAAATATTTATATTTTTTTTACCTGTTTTTATGGTACTCAAAATCTTATCCCTTATTTAAAAAAATTAAATACGGCTCATTTATTTTTCATCGGTCTAATTACTAATATTCTTACAAATATTATAAACTAACAATACATAAATTAGGCTTATAACATTTTAGATATTTTTAAAAAATTGTTTAGACATTTTTTTTACATATTCGTCTATATATACATATATATATATATACACACACACACATATACATAATTGATGTTAAATTTAAATATTTGTAGACATGTTTTCTTTACAAAACAGTCTAGAAAAATCTTTTTTATACAATGTCAAATTCAAATGTTTTTAGATATGTTTTCTTTCTAAAATTGTTTGTAGGTGACTTCACATCTTGCAAAAACAATATAGAAAATTTTGAATACTTTTACATATACTAATATAACATTTTAGGTGTTTTAATATTAAACATTCAAATTTTATATTCTCTTATACAAAATAATGTAAATTTTATTTTCTCTTATACAAAATAATTTTACATTGTTTGACCCCGAATCTTTAATTTATAATTATTAAGTATTTTTTATCCTCCTCTTTAATTTATAATTATTTTTTTTCTTCCTCTTTTTAAATAGAATCAACTGTAGTTTCCACTTAGTAACTCAAACTCGAGGTCTATTTATAATATTATAGATTTAATATTATTTCCGTGCATCGCACGGGGTACACACTAGTTTTGCTAGATCAAAATTGACAGTTGACCATCTTTCCAGTTTCGAATTGATAAATTTTATTTGTTACACCTTAATTGTCAGTTAACCCATTTTTGAAACCCGATTAAACCCCTTCTTATTACTCACAACAAATAAATAGAAAAGAATGAATATTCTGAAAAAAAACACCTCATATTCTAAAAAGTTAATCATGCTAATTTAGAATTCCCTGCAATGCATAGGCTTTTCGTATTTGATAAAAAGATATTCCTTATGAAGTTGATGAATCCCAGCTTTGTAGCCTACATGATAACGCGTGACACTTATTAATTAATTAATTATTAGAGTCACAAATCGGACAAAAAACCATTATATACATTTATTTTTCTATTTTTGTTAACTTTATCGCTATAATTCTGAAAATAAAAATTAATATGCATATCGAACCCTAACGTTAGCCAACGTCGAAATTAACGGAATAGTAATGTACTGTTTTTTCACTGGTTTGTTTACATATATCTCTTAATTTATATGAAAAAATAAAATAAAATAAAAAATCATTGATATCTTGCTCATTTTCTTTCGCCATCAAAAACAAGTTTCAACATATCCAATAGTCATGCTATCTAGAGCTAGAATTATTTCTTTAATGCAAAAGTTTGAAATCAAGTCGCTAATTTAATCATTAGTATAATGTTGTTTATGTCAATTGATCCGCCGATAAGTCGGTGTTGATTTTCAAGGTTGCAAATGATTGAGTTGAGTTGAGTTCTTGGCCAGCTAGAATTGTTTTCTTATTTACTTTTTTAGGTTTATAAATCGACCTAACGCTTATGGGCCACTTGCCCAACATAATTGACTCGACCTGCCTAACTTGCTTGGCCCAAGTAGTCGAGCTAAGGAAGCTCTGGTTTAGAACCGAGCAATCTATACTGTAATATTTTTAGAAGCACTTAAGTAAATTTCTTACTTACATTCGAGCGACTCGTTCGAACATTTGAGCTTACAAACTACAAACTGTTATTATTGAGAGGAAATAAATAAGTATGGGCTCCTCTTCTATTAAAATATTGCATTGAGTATTGGGTTGTGTGCCTCTTGAGTTTGTTCCCATATGCCAAATTGAGTGCTTTATTGAGTGGAGTATTTGTCATCCTAAAATTGCCCATTCTTCTGCATTGGTTTGTGTGAAGATTTGTACCCATACCTTATCATTCCATTGGCTTTCGTGAAGACCATATTGCAAATGGTTATTTTACAACCTCATTTCCTCCTATAGATAGACGTGCTTCGGCTGAATGAAAAACACACCAGACAGAAGAAAAAAGAATATAAAGAAGAAAGAGAGATAGAAAAATATTCAGTCCCAAAAGAATATTTGAGGGATAAAAATATTAGTGATAAAAATAGAGAGAAAAAATTATCAGAGAGATATTTTTGTTCCTATTTTTAAGTGCTCAATTCTAGACTCCGTTTCAGTTTGCCGGAGCTCGTAAATCTGGTGTGCTACAGATTTAGAGACGTTTGCCGTTGTATCTTTGGGGAAGTTACCTGAACCGTTAGCTGCCACACGGGGCGTATTCTTCTTGCAGAAAGAGTTTTACTCGCCTCGGCTAAAATATTTCCGTTTTGTTATAACTCATTTTTCAGTTGTAATTTATTTTTCAGTTCAATTGTAATTTTTTATTTTAGATTATTTGTAAGAACTGAAAAATACATATCAGTTCGTAGGATTCCCGTGTATTTTTACACCCAAATTTATAACAATCGCAAGAAGAATATTTTCAACCTACTGAACTGATGGCATCCACCGGATAAGGTTCTCAACAACAGCATCCCGTCAACCCTATTATTCATAATCATGTACCTGCTGTCCATGTCCCTACTGCTGTCCATAATCATTTACCAGACCACTTTGGGTTTGGTAAAATACTTGAAGGACGACCCTCCGGTTATTGCTGAAAATGAGACCAATATTGAACTACGCACTGCGTACGAAGCTTGGGGGCAAGGTGATTACCTTTGCCGTAACTATGTCCTGAATGGACTTAGTAACGAGTTGTACAAGGTGTACAACTTGGTTAGATCTGCCAAAGAGCTTTGGGCTACTTTGGAGCAGAAGTACAAGACTGAGGATATCTGGGCGAAGAAATTCGTCGTCGGCAAGTTTCTTGACTTCAAAATGGTTGACACTAAGACCGTTGTG